GCCACCTTAGGTGTATATGGCTGGCGCCTTAGCCACGTGAACCACAGGTGCCGAGCCCAGACTTTTCTTTAAAAATAAGATGTCTTGCTAAAGAAGTTGGGTGTGATTTAAAAAAACAATGTATTTTGAATCGAAGAAAACCCAAGCTGCCTAAATCCTTTCACCAGTCACCTTTGTGGAATGACACAGAACAAGCACATGCCACCCTTCCTACCAGGCCTGCTCTCTTATCTGGACCCACTGTGAGCCTAGGTTTTATCTGTGTGCTCCTAAGTCATCACGAACACTCTCGTTGGAACCAAGCACCCCGCACCAGGCCTGCTGCACAAGCAGGACCCCAATAGCCCCATGACTACCCACACGCCACCAGGTACCTCTCAGAGACTCTGGTGGCACAAGGCCCAGTTAGGACCAGGGACCCTGCACTGCGGGGCACTCCTGGGACAGCCTGCTGCTGGCCTGTGGCTTCTCAGGTCTCTGGCTGTGTCTGGCAGAACCCATCTAGGGCTCCTGCTGTGTGAATGTGGGCAGTAACTGCTTCCCAGTGAACTGCGCCCAGGGTGCTGCCAGGGTGGCTACAGCCAGTCAGGAAGGCCCCCAACCTCTGCGGGGCATTTGAGGGGTGGCCTCACGCGCCCCCACACACAGGGGGAGGCCCCTCATGATGAACACCATAGAGAATCCAATGCTGTGCCTGATGTGGCTTTTCCTGTACAAACATCTCTTGCAGCTGGGGGCCCTGACCTCCAGAGTGGAGAACAGATCCAGCTCCCGGCGTGTCTGGGGACCAGACAGGCCATGATCAAGCCACAGGCCTCTCACCACTTTTCTTCACTGGAAGATGAGGATGTTGGTCTGGAAGATCATCGGGGGCTAGCCAGGTTTTAAAATTCAAGGACTTTATGACATGCACACAGATGAATTATATCTCAACTTTTTATAATACTCAGAAATATCCCTTCCCTCACCAAGCACATAAAAGCATCATAAACAATAGAGCCTTGTTCTACTGGCTGTGAGCAGGAAGTACAGTGGGGAAGCTGAGGCAGGGTGGGGAGCCTTCCAGCTGGGGCTAGCCCACAGGACTTTCGTGGCGATTCTCTAGGGGGAAAAATACGAGACAGGGGATTCTTTCCTTTGAGGGATATGCACACCGATCAGCCTTTGTGGTTTTGTGTTGTGTTTAGTTTATTAGGAGAGGATACGTAGGTTACTGGCCATCCCTGAGACACAGCCATGGGAACCAGGATTCGAATCCAGGTCTGACACCAAAACCTGGATCATCTAAGACAGTGGTTCTCAACCTTCCTAATGCCACAGCCCTTTAATACAGCTCCTCATCTTGTAGTCCAACCATAAAATTATTTTTGTTGCTACTTCATAACTGTAATTTTGCTACTGTTACGGATCGTAATGTAAATATCTGATGTGCAGGATGATCTTAGGTGACCCCTGTGAAAGGGTCGTTCGACTCCCAAAGGGGTCGAGACCCGCAGATTGAGAACCACTGATCTAAGGAAATAACAGGACTGCAGATTTCTGGTGTGGCTGGCTCTGTGGTCACTTCTGCCTGGCATCTGATACCTGAGGTGGAAAGGGGGCTGGGTCACTGACCAGCCCCACTGGTGCCAAAATGGACCCGTCAGTGACCCAGGGTGAGCTGGAAGTGTCACTCACAGCATGCTCATCCATGTGTGTCTGTCACCCCTTCTAGAATGAAGTGCCTACGAGGCAGGAACGATGGATGTGTCATTCAGGCCACAGACTAATCAGACTGGACACGATCTGGCAGACACAATTTAAAAGGCTCTGAGTTAAGCACCGTCCAGTCAAGTTCCCAGGGCAGGGACCATTTCTGTCTGGCTTATCACGGTATCTGCAGCACTTAGTGGTGCAGAAACGGGCCCTTGGAGCCCCAGGAGTCCTTGCTGGATGAATGAATAAATGAAGAAATGGGATTAGTCAGTTCATTGATTTGTTCAGCTAATCGCTTAATCGGTAAGCAGGCCTGTGCGGCACAGTGGAATTCCGTCTTTCCGCGCAGCTTGGGAGCTGGCTGCGGATTTCTAGGAAAGTCTGCAGAACATTTAAGGGACTGCACTGGCAGCTTAGCTCTGCCTCTAATTTGCTGTGTGATCGTGGGCAGGTAGCTGAGTCTCTCTGAGCCTAAGCCTCCACCAGTAAAGTAAGGAGAGGTAGCAGCATCAAGTTAGATGAGGACAGGAAAAGCATTTTTGTAAGGTGTCGGATGATGGCAACAGGAATTATGCATCACTTAACCTTTCAGGGATTCAGCAACTCCATATAAAAAATTACAAACTAATTGTTTCTTGCGGTCTCAGCTTCAGCATCCTGTGAGTCTCTGCAGGCTTATAGACAGGGTCTCTGGGAAGAGTGATGCCAGCTGCACAAGGCATAAATCTGTCACCGGCTGGGTGTCGGCCAGACCTCTGCCAGCGGAAACGTTGCAGAAAACAGTTGCCAAACACCAGGCAGCGAGAATGAGAGCCGGCCCATCTCAGAGACCTCAGAGCACTCTTTCCTCTGGCAGGTGAAGAGCTGAGCCCAGCCTGGAGCCCACACAGCTTTCCCACGGCCCCACGCCAAGCAGGACCAGAGCCCAGGGAGCTCGATGCCTGGCTCTTCCTTGACACCAAACTGTCCCCAGAATTCTCTCCTGAAGCAGACGCTGGCCTGTTGGGCTCCTTGCTCATCTGCCGCAGTAGACACAGGGACTCGGAGGTAGGCAGCCCTTTTGTGTCGGGGTGCTTGCCCACTGTGGAGAGAATCTTCCTTTTCAGTGGGGCCTTCAGGACACACAGCTCCATTGCAGGCTGATTCAGGCACCTGATCATTCATATCTGAATGAGGGACCTGCTTGAAACAGCAGCTATCTGGGGCTGGGAACCAAGCAAACTCATGGACCCCCCCTAAATCTAGCATGTCTTACTAGCTTTGTAATATGTGAGAAGAATAAAGGGAGAGCCAAAACCTGGCTCTCCTGGAGGCCAAGCCGATAGGAAGGCCAGTCTAGCTGGGCTTCTGGGCACAGCGGCTGCAGTCTGGCTTGGGCTGGGCTTGAGTGGCCCCTGGTGGCAAATCTGTGGAGATGCAACAGGCTTTGTGAGGCCCACGTGCTAAAAAGCACAGCCTTTTAATTCAAAAATGCCAGCGGGAGCCTCTTTAGGATCAAATCAAATCAGGTGTGGGAGCCCCACATACCGAGCCCCTTTCAAGTTGGAACAGATAAATCTCATTGTAATTTGTAATCTAACTGCAAATTCCAAAATTAGGCCTGACTGGCAGAGCCAGCAAAACGCCAAGTGCGTTCATTCACAGACTAGGGGGCTGTGTCCTGTGTTCTTTCTGCAGACAGCACTGCGGGATGACAGAGGCTGGGCCCAGAGTCTGAGCCGAGTTCCGAGGCTCATGGTGGGGGACACCAGGTATGAGGGCACCAGGCTCGCAGGCCAGCACTCACTGGGCACCTGTCCTCTGCTGGGCATTGCACTGACCCTGTGGGATCAGTTCTTCATAGCCACCCTGTGCACAGCTTTGAGATGAGGAAACTGAGGCGCAGAGAAGTGGGTTGCCTGGAGACCCCAACCTGTGCATAATGGTCATGCCCTCAGCCCTCGGAGCTGGGCTCTGGCTAAATTCTGCTACTTATTTACCAGGAAGGTTAAAGCTGCAGACCCAGATACAGTCATTTCAAAATGACTTTTCATAATGACGATACAGTGTCACAGTAACTCAAAAAAAAAAAACCCAAAGGCAAACCCAATTCATGACCTCTAGCTCCTGTTGTAGGCAGGGTTTGTCCACAAAGTGGTGGCAGCTACCCACAGCCCAGTGTTTTCTGGCAGGTGGACCTGAACTGGCTCATTGAGGCACAACTGGACAATTGCATCAGCCAGTGTCAGACCCTGCAAACTCCACAGTGATGTTCACAGCTGACATAATGTGTTGGCTCGGTTAAGAATGTCTTTGGATTATAGCAGACGCAGTGAATAGACGTCTATTTCCAGTTTGCAGCTTTTACCAAGATAAGCAGGCTTTTGGCAGGCTTGAGTGGTCTTAAGGCTTAAAATTAGTACAGGAGAAGTTTGAGATGTTTTAATTAGTTGAAACTGCAAATAACACGGTGTCACAAAGGATCAGCCTGTTCTTGGCACCGTTCTGGGATTTAACTAATATTGCAAAGCACAATTATTCCTCCAAAGCACAGGGTGAAGGGTTCTATGTGTTCCCCAACCATGAAAGTCTTTGTAACTTTTTCCAGGCAGGTAGGAGCTGCAGCTTGTGGCTGGCAAGTACCCCTGCTGGAGGCCACCTCGAGCCCCACTGCTGTGGCTCAGAAATGAGGGAACCAGGTCGTTCCCTGGGAGTTGACCCTAAGCTCGCTGCACACTGGCTCCATTTTGGGCATCCACATCCTGGCTTCACATGGA